AGAACAATTCTTAACGAGTGGCGGGAATCCATTTGTAAAGGAGAACGACCAGCAAGTAATGCGCAGTGAGGGGACCAAACGGGGTGAGTGGGGAGAGAGAACGTTTTCATCGATTTTTCCCGGATACTTGGGTCTGTCTTTTATGTTTTATGTTGCTATATCCACTCAAAACAACAGTTAGGATCATTAATAAAGGGGGGTAAGTTTCTAAAGAAACTGTGGTGCTGCGTCGGTTGGGTTAACAAGGTAATTTGGTAAACTAGGTTGAAATTGTAAATTGGCCACCGTAAAGAGTTATAAAGCTGACGTTTCGAGCCGTTAGCCTTTCGTCAGGGCGAATGACGAAGGGCTAACGCTCAAAACGTCAGCTTCGTTAGGGTGGAAACCCTTATTTCGAACTACTATCAAGGACAAATCTGTTTTCGTTTTATTCAATTATTTTATGGATGTTACCTAACACAAACAGTCAACTTCCAATCAAGAACTGACCTGAACTCAACCAAACTTCGAATTTATTTTTTTTAAACTTTATTATGAGTGACGTTTTTCTCCAGACACTTCTAACGAGACATATTTCACAATAGCACGTTTGTTTGTAGTTTCGGTAACGCATTCTTTACGAATTCAGATCTGGAAACACCATCTTATCATAGTAGTGAATTAGAAAAACAGTCTGAACGATGACATTTTCTCAGAAGAGTTCGTTATCATGCTTTTAAAAAGAAGTGTCCAAAATATCAGCAACTTTCAAGACCGCAAGTTAGAGCATTTTTAATTTGAGTTTCAATAAAAACTGACGGAAATCAAAGTAATCACATGAAACGCGGGAAAACGCGAGTGTCCAAAGCAGGGTTGGTGTTTGTGTTGAATCTGATTGGTTGAGGTGGTGCGAGGTTTCTGGACCAATCATATAGCGAGTTTTAGTAAAACCAAAGCAGTTACCAACTTCTTTCAACACTCAGGCAAGGCAAAAAATGTAGAAATGCAACCGATTTCATTGTCACCATTAATATTGTGGAAGTATTGTGCTTCAGGGGGAGTCAGTATCTAGATTGTCATCCGGAACTACCTCAACTGTAGCCTCGTCCATTTCTTGAACTATTTTAACATTGTTATCTTGTCTTTGAAGAGACCTCGTGTCGTCAAATCGACTGCTCGTCTCGCTGTTTCTCTGTGCCTGATCACCCAAACTGTCTAGATAATCAATCCGTATGTAGCGTTCGTTTTCTTTGATTTTTTTTACCTCGATCTCTAGAGTGGTTGGCTTGGACAACCTTGCTTTTATAGATTTTAGATCCACATCGCGCGGGAGTGTGAGACGCCAGCAGAATTTCCGTTGGAAACAAGAATTCTGTGTCTTTCTGTTCCGAGAGGGTATGCCCTTGATAAGGAGCTCACGACCATCTAGCTTCAATGACAGTTCATTCGGATCGAATCCATTGACGTCCAAGACCAGTTGAAAAACGTCCTCATCATTTCGTTTCACGAACGGGTACGAAACTAGTTTATGACTGACACCAACTGTTTTGTGAAGTCTTGGAAAATAAGGATCTTGGTTGTGGAAAAAGGCCATTTCAAACGGATCATCTTCGAATGGATCCCAGTTGGCAAAGTCAAAAAAGTTATTTCTGTGCCACAGTCCATGAAAACGAAAGATATTCACATGTATCACGGCATTTCACAGGAAATTCTACGTCATATTCTTTGGGGACGGGAAGGAGGAATTGGAGGTTTCAGAACTACAGGGTGTGAGGAGCTTTAAAAGTCTCCTCTGGATAAAAGGGTTTGAGATTATAGTTTTACAGCAATATGCCTTAAGAAAGCAATATCTTATGTGAAATTTCCTAGTGAATATATTTTAAGACCATTTTCTCAACTGTTTTTTGTGTATTCCCCCGTTAGTTGTCAAGGTCTTCAAGAATTGGGTAAGATCTGGTTGTGGGATGTAAATACCGACCATCTCCACGAGTTCAACAAACAAGCCAGTCAATTAAAATCTGAATTTCCCCCAATTGCTCTACCAATTTAGTTACATCGATAATTATAAGTGAGAGGCTCTTAGATGTGGTCAGGCAGTTCTGATTAAAGTATTTTGACAACGAACTGACAGATCTGGTCGGACAGTTAAACAATACATGACCATGCAGCTGTTGTGATTCACTACCAGAAAGCGTCGCGAGAAAAGCTTTAGATACTGCACTTACCCGAAATCATCGAAGGGGTAGCTCATTATCAATGAACCTTCACTTATGTCACTTATTCCCACGAGGAGAAAGAATAGAAAAAAATACACCATCGCAGACACTGTTCTTGGAATTGAAGGGTTCCAAACTGACATTGAACTGAACAGACAAATCGAACTTTGAAGAAGAAGTGTCTTCAGTTGACTTTTATTATGTATCAAGGCCACGTCAAAAGAAATGTGGCTATTTCGCATTATGCCACGTACATGCTACACCCACTATTTCTCCAAACGTCGATGATCGTTTTTAGGAACTGAATCACGCAAATTGCATCATCCCCAAGACTCAAAATGTTGTCATCCGGATCTAGGATTGTGCTGAACATCATGCGCTGTTTTTTAAGTCTTCAGACCGGTTCACTAGCAGTAAAGGCAGAAACAGCTGTTCAACATTGTTCAAATAAAACTGGTTTTGCACCTAAATATTAAGGTTAAGATTCCTGGAAGGGGAAATTAAAATACGAAGTGGTCAAAAGTTGCATCAGTTAGGCTGCCATATTACCCGTCAAAGCATTTCCGGCGGAAGTGAAAAAGTGAGTGTCGGAAAGACCTGGGTACGAAATCTTTTTTGGTCCACGTCAGAAAATCCAACATGGCGTTTACATTTTATAGCCTACTCGAAGCTTGTCTTTTAGTGGTAAATGCTGTGGCAGTGCTTCATGAGGAGCGTTTTCTTGCAAAAGGTAAGTTTCATTTGTATATGCGAGTCATTTTTTAAAGAAAGGTTTGTTTGCTACACTTTGAATAAATTAGCGTACAGATTATAGGCTTTGCAAAGAAATGGCTTTGGAATACTACAAATAGATCTTCTTGCATTGGGTATGTCTTTCTTATTTTGTTATATTCTCAGTGTTATGATGTGGCAATTCATGGGTTCGTATCTTGAAAGAAGCAGCTACCTGTCAAGATGATTCGTAGTTTGTGCAATCTATGGAATCATGGACTGATCAGTCTTGGCGTATACTTTGAAATGTCACGCTGAGTTAGACCGCTTGTAGATTAGTTACGATAATTTTGTTTAGATCAAGATGACAACTTCAACTTGATAAGTTTAAGTATTTTCATTACCTAATACCTGGATAATATGCGGATATTATGGGCAGAAGTTACATGCTAATCACTTCTGGAAGTTAAATTACAGGTTAAAGATTGGAACAAGCTACCTTAGTGTGCTACCAGGTTTATGCACAGACTCAAGGAGAGATGTCGGTGACATTTATAAATTATACTTTCTCTACTCAGTTGGATGGGGCACAGATCAGCTCTCAGGATTTGGAGAAGAGAGAGGAACAAAACACCAAGTCATTAATCTCGTACATTCTGTTAGGACTGTCATGAGAAGTAAGTGAAAGGATTTGATATTTTGGATGGTATAACAAGGGTAACAGTGTATTCTACTCATTAGAAGGCTGTTCAAAAGAGTTTTTTTTGAGGCAAGTTGTAGAAGGAAAAGAGAGCAATTTAAAAGTTGATTATTCTCCTTGTTAACATAAAAAATAGCCTAAGCCAAATAATTCTTAAATTGTTGAAACTGAGCTTCAATTGGTGCCTATATGTCAGCTGAATCTGGCATACAAATCAAACTGCAGGAAGTGTACTTACATCATGGATAATAATTATGTAGAAATAAATTACAAGAAATAAATTATAAATATGTGATTATTCAGATTCTCACCCCTCTAATGGTTATATTTTTGTATTATTTTTCAGTACCTCTTATTTTGCTCAACTCACTTACAATACTTTTGCTGCTACTGATGGGATGATGTTACAGGGCACAACATGTCTTATAGTACTTGGACATATATCATTTCTGTAAGGAGTTGCTGAACAAAATCATTGGGGATTTGTATCAAAATCTTTTGAAAAAAAAATTCTCGATGTGTTTTCACTCTTCAGAAGATGATCAGACAAATTTAATTGTCTGCCTTGTTTATGGAACTACTTAATATCAACCAGTATGGGGTAACTGTACAGAGATGTAGTTTTCAAGAATTATTTTTGCAAATACCCTGATGAGAACATTACTGTACATATCTTCTGCTGTTATGATATTAAATTGCTAGAGTGTTAACATATTTATAGCAGCACTAATTCAATGTGGATCTGATATCTACTTGTTTTTTTTTGTTTGTTCTTTTTTTTTTCAATAATTATAAAAATTTATTATGGCATGTAAAGTGTATATTTTGGCACATTACAAGAAGTTAACTGTTCTCTGTACTACCAAATGTTATATTTGCCTGAACAATAGTTGTTTGGAATAAATGAGGAGTGATTAATTAAAATTGCAATGATGCCTATGTCAAACTTTTCACCCTAGAAGGAGGGGCAAAGGGGGGTTTACATTGTGTTTCTGACCTACTTTGTGAAGGGGAGGGTTGGGGGGAGATGAAACAACCTGCAGTGCAGGCATCATATTGTGATGAGTTTTTATTACAAGCTTGCAGTTGTTTATCTGCCCAACCATGCTTGATAAAGAGTGAGAGTTGGATGGTGGGGGTAGGGGGTAGGGGGCCAGCAAGAGGACCTATCACTCACCCTCTCTTACAACAAATTTCTTACTCTGCCCATCCTTCCACTGCAGTAAAATTCAGAGATGGCAGCTGTAATTCTCACTAAGAAAACACTGAGCACTCGCTTGCCAAAATCACACTTGGTCTGCAAGTTAGGGATGTACTACGAATTTTTCGTTTCTTTTTTTTTTATGTGAACTTTATCTATGCTATTGACCACGCGGGATCAGTATCCTGCTCGCTAAATCAATTGGCAATGACTCTTTAATTCTCTTCAAGTTTAACTCATGAAATCCTATTGACAAACGAACCTTGTTGAACGAGACAGGGTCAGAAAGTGAAGCTCATCGTGCGAGGCTCGAACTGCCGAGAGCATTGTCAAAACTAGCGTCAAGCCCACAATAAGTACTGTAAGCAGTTATTGTCTCGCGTCTAGGATTTAAATACACTGATCACAGGTACCCATGGTGTCACTTAGTAAGAGTGAATTGCACTGCAACTGTACAGTTTATTTCACTTGAAAAAGAGTAAAATTTGGCAAATCTGCTCTATATGATGCTTAACAAAATTATCTTCAAAGGTATGAAATCGGAGATCCTCAACGTGATGTAGTCGACCAGATTTTCTGGCTGGCTTTCTGTGGGTAATTTTGCTACTGCACTCGACTTAGTCCCTCAAGACATCTCATATTGCGTAATCTCCTTTGGAAAATTAGAGAAACATGAAGTCAACAGATGACTAGCGGACAGGATAGAAAAGAGTGGATGTATCGTTCATTTTCAAGTGTTACAAGGTATTTAACCTTTCTGTGCGGTTGGGGGTTAACATTTGGTGTTGGAGTTCAAAATAATTAATGAAAATATGACATAGAGTGATATCTTCTTATTGACTGATAAAGGTTTATTTGGTCTTAATAGAGAGAGTGTATTGAAAAAAGAACTGGTATAAAAGATAATAACAGTAGAAATTGACAAGAGTGCTATGATACTTTTGTAAACTATACAGGCGAGAAGTGTTTTTGGGGATTTGAAGTGAGGACGGGCGGGCTCATGACTTGTAGGCTCTATAATCTTCATTGGAATTAAGCTAAAGTCGCCAAAATCTCCCGCTAAGAGGAACTGAATAACATCAACATGCTAGTTCACTGCAGAGCGGTGCTGTTTTTCGTTGCCATGTACGAAATCTGTGGAAGAATTGTTACCAAGCGCGAAGAGGGTAAGTTCACAGAAAAATTCCCATTTGTTCACTCTGATCTTAAATAATTTTTTTTATCAGGCGACCAACTTTTCGTTGCTAGTGGTGTTAGCCGTGTCGGTGGAACTTAAATATTAAACTTCGATAGATATATTACCCTTTATGGAAAATTTCACTCAGAAACACCTTATTTGCTTTTTCCCTATTCGAAGGTGATAGCTTTCTATAGGTAATAGCATGACGATTTTTATATTTGTATGAAAATATCGATAACCAGTCCATAAAGCAGGTTATTTTTATCCTGCGTTACCATAAACAATGTAGTTTAAATACAAATTTAAGACACCTAGGAAAATGCCGTATTATTTGTTTCAAAAACAAGACCACTCTTTTACAAAAAGAAGAATAAAGAAAAAAAAAAAAAAACTAAGTTAACTTGGAAACGGTATTTCCATCTTAAACGATATTCAGAAGAATACCGTTGAAGTAATTTTACATAGTGAGGATCTGAGGAGCCGTGGTCTTCCTCTAGAGCAGTTCTAGAAATGGTTCCCTGTTACCTTTGATATGCCATATGTCTTCCATACAAAATTTCGATCTTAAGCGTCTGCAATGATTTATCTTGATGTACAGCACACGAGGCACTTACTCTAAGATCGTCGGACTTTTAAACTCGGTTTCGGTGTTTCGTTGTTATTTCCGTGTGTTAAATGAGGAAAGTAAAACATAAGAAGCGAAGACGCACGTTAGATTGCTTTCTGTAGTCTCAACATTAAAAAATGTCTGATCATCGGCGTCCTCTTCATTTGTAGAAGTTACTACGTTTTATTTCTTCTTATATCACAGGATGGGAGTTGGAGGATTATTTGGATAGTGAGGATCCGAACTGGCCGTCAGGGGATTATGAAAATCTCTCTGCGTTTGATGAGATTTGGAAAGCAAATGAAGGTCGGTGGCTCTCTGTGTTATTTCAAATCTCGACCTATATTACGATCCACAACGTAAGGAATAATGTCAAAAACGGCAGCATTCTTGCTCTCCTTTGAGAACTTAATCGTTAAGTCTTGAATTGGAAACTTAATTAAAAGCGCACGATCTTGAATACATTACTCTACACTTTTCAAATTCGTCAGTCATCTGGGATCCCGTATTACTGAGTGCCACTACGATTAACGGCGTCCATCAAATAAAATTAACCGATCACATTGTAGGGGACGCCCATTGATTCCCATTGAACTCAACTGAGACAGATAGTGCTAAGGATGAGGTTAAGAAATATGTCAAATAATTTAGATGGAATTTATTTTTCCATGATTTCCTGAAATCAGATCGGTCAGTTTTGTGTAAGCAACTCTGGTAACGTAAAAGAAGGCGCAGTGTAATCTCCACCATACTAGTTTTTTTCCTTTATTTTGACTTATTTCGTATTTTTCTACCTCAGCAAACACTTTTTCAGGTGTTGTTTTTAAAGCATCAAATTTAACTCCATCTGTAGTGGGGTGCTCTCTAAATTGAAGCCAACTTAATCAACATCGAAATAAACAGGGCGAATAATCGGAATATCTGCTTTTTATTTTAGCCGAGGACGTTACTGACTTACTGGAAGGTGATATAAAAACTGATCTTGATTCAAAAAATGCCACCGATGAGGAAAAGATTAATGATGCAGTACGAAGCCGACAGTATACGTGGCGAACGAAGGTCGTTCCCTACGAAATCTCTAAAGAGCTTGGTGAGTATTTGTTAACGAAAGTTATAAAATTTTGACACTGAAAACTACAAGCTCTGTGAATAGTCTTTTATTTTGCATCGATGCACAGCGGACCTAATGGCAAGAATATATGTTTTCGGATATTATTTCATCTTTTTGTCATCCGTGATCTGTAACTGGACTTAGATACAAAGTAAGAAAAACAGAATTTGATCATTTTCCTGAGAGTAAGTATCGTAAAAGCATTCAACAGCCCCTGTTTGCAACTGATATAACTAGTACTCTAACGATAACATATAACAGTCTTGCTAATGAGTAACCTATGGATGAAGGTCTAGGTTAAATAGCTAAATAATCGTGAATAATCTCCTTATTTTTGCTAAAATTAAAGTGTCATCTGGCTACATGGCAAATATTCGAGCGGCATTTTCTGAGTTTGAGAAGTACACCTGCATCAAATGGAAGCCAAGAGGAAAAGAGAAATATTGGGTCAGGTTCATCAAGGGTAAAGGGTAAATAATTATCACATTTTCAAAAATAAAGATTTGATGAGATACTAGGTTATTTTACGAGGTTTTAAATTCTTGTAAATGTGTAGAAGAAGGGCACACTGTTGTGAGTCCATTTTAACACCTCGCTTTACTTTATCCTTGACGGTAAAAGAGATTTACAGTCAGTTTTTGAGTTATAAGGCCCGTCCTGACGGAACTAATGTCATTTTGCGTAGCATGAAGCAACTACAATTATTGTAATCCATCCTGGCGCAATGCTGGTCAAACCCTGTTTCACCCCCAGCACTTTGTTGCATTCAGTCATCCTGATTGTTAGCCGGTACTCGTTTATACTCGTGATTTGGAAAGACTGAGACACTGTGTGTGAACGCAAACTATCTTTCCCAAGAATATAACACAACGATTTAACCAGCGCCCGAATCTCGACATCACCATCCGCAGTCCAGCACCTCACAACTTACCCCATCCTTTTTTGGTGCGTGTGTGTGTTTGTTATTGTTGACTATTAGAAGCGTGGTCAAAATCTTATCAGATCTTTTCTTGTATCTCTTCAGGTGTTGGTCACCAGTCGGCTACAGACGAAAATCACCTCAATTAATTTCGCTTGGAAATGGTTGCAACCAAAAAGGCATCATCTGTCATGAAATGATGCATACTCTTGGGTTCTACCACGAACAAGGTCGACCGGACCGAGACAAATACGTGGCAATTTACTGGGAAAATATTCAATCTGGTCAGTGGGGATTTTTTATGACGTGTTGTGTTTCCTACCACAATACCTTTTCTCCTTAGAAGTTTGGATGTAATTCCATCATACCGACATATTTTCGACGAGTGAGCTGCGATAGTAACAACTTAAAATAGTTCAAGATCTTCCTAAGCAATCTGTGTCAGTGTTCTCCATCCTTGTTTCATATCTTTTTATTTCATTATTTCCTCTTTGGTGGTTTGCTACCCTATAAAAAAATGTCTGTTTACGAGCCAAAGTAGCCCATCAGACCGGCGCTTTACTCCGGTCCAGAGTCGAGTGCACTACCCATGAGGCCGCCGTGCCCCCTTGTCATTTACAATCCGATTCAGTCTTCATCATGATTAGCCTTCTTTGTTCCATCTTGCTTTAATTTCATTATTTCCTCGTCTGCATTTTTCTATCATGTTGAACAAATATTATTTCATCTCTTTCGAGCTGGAAGCGTAGTTAAGCATGAGAAAAAAGAGCCAATTAAGCTATTACTCAACTGCTCTAACTTGTTCATATCATTCTTAGGAAAGGAACACAACTTTAAAAAGCAAAGTGAGGAAGACCTTGATCCTTTGAACGCACCGTATGATACGAGCAGTATCATGCATTATGGGAAATACACGTTCAACAAAAATGGCAGACCTACAATTGAAGTTATCGGTAAACCTTATAAAATGATTGGACAGCGGTTTGGATTCAGTAAAACGGATATTGAACAGTTAAACGCTCTTTATGACTGCTCTAATGACGGTACGTTTTAAAACTCTTTCTTGTACACATACATCTTACATCAAGAGCAGATCTTGGATTTTTTCAATTTCGGATGTGTATCCCCTGTACCCCTCCCCTAGATCCATTCCTGTACATGTATTAGTTGCTTTCAAATCAATAGTAGCCCATTTGATTAATTCTTGTCAGATAAACAAGGCATTGCGGCTATCCTGAGTAACAGTTACTCGGTTGGTTGTGATTGGCAATTATATCTTTTAAAAGTTTTGAAGATTCATCCTGTAGTCAATGCGGTTCTCTATTCTCGTGTCTGCTTTGTAATGAATTGACGATAACTGTAAGAAAACGCTACATATCAAATAATTCTTTGAGCTTCTCTGAGAGAGGCCAACAGATCCGCAATTTTAAACTGAAAGTTTCTTTCTCAACCGAATTATGCTCTCACAGCAACAGGCGGCTGGAGTTCGTGGACAAGTTTTGGTCCCTGTTACAAGCATAATTCCAAATGCCTTCATGATCGCCAGAGATACTGTTCGAACAAGAATAGAGATAAGTGTCCCGGTGCAAACATGTATGGTGTACAGACTCAGACAAAGCCATGTCCACATAGCTGCTCCTGTAAGTACAATTACCATTATAGATAACAAACCTCAAGTTTTACTCGCCCTAACATCCCCTGCGACATCTATCAGTACTCCAAAAAATTCAAGCATCGTGCGAGATAGACCAGAACTTTGAACTTACTCTTTGCTCTAAAAAATTCCGATAATATTAACACTTACGAAACAAGAAAATGACAGGTAAACTTCGACTCTCTTAGCGCCAGTTGACGGCCACTGGGGTCGTTGGTCTTCATGGTCACCTTGCAGTGAAACATGCGGTTTTGGGACCCACACTAGAACAAGAAAATGTAACGATCCACCTCCAAAGTATGGTGGGGAGGAATGTGCTGGAGACAGGACAGATGTTGGCAAGTGTCTTGTGACAGTTTGTGGTCTTGGTAAGTTTATGTCATTTACCAAGATTTATTAAAACCATGGAAAACGGTTACAATGGGTTAATTTGGATATATCAACAAAGTTGAAATGGTAAATTGGCCACCGTAATGATTACAAAAGCTGACGTTTCAAGCGTTAGCCCTTCGTCGGAGCGAATGGAGGAATTGTGGGTTGTGTGTGCTTTTAACCGCCGCCTGGTTAGCTCAATTGGGAGAGCGCCGGACTGCTGTGCGGGAGGTCGAGAGTTCAATACCGGCCGGACCAACACTCAGGGTCTTAAAATTAACTGAGAAGAATATGCTTCCTTTCTTTAACATCAAGAAATGGTTAGANTACATTTCTAATTCTTAATCAAATCTACACAATTGGTCTATCTCTTTCGCATTTACCAATAATCTAATCATGGTAAGGTAAAGGTAACGTCTACTTATGAGCCATGTGGCTCATTGGGCCGGTGCTTAACTCTGGTTTCTGTAGCATGAAGCGACTAGGAGTGAGGGTTACCCCGAGCATTAAATTCGCCGGTACCCATTTAATTCTCCTGAGTGAAGAAACGCACTGTGAGAGTAAAGTGCAGCGGTCGATTTCAGGTCTTCCTTTACGTTTTACTAGCGAATAACGCCGTTCGTCCCTAGCTGTCTTGTCGTCAGATGCAGCCCCTTCTTAGCGGTTTAATTTTGAATTGGTTGTCTTTATGTATCCTTGAGAAGGTTTGCAGTGGTTGTCGTTCTTCAGCGTGGCAGTGATGCAGCAGTTACTTGGGGGCATTCCTGCGGTTTAATTTCGGCTTTCCTAAGCGTTTTCTGTTTTGGTTGTCTTCATTGCGGTCGTAGCAGCTGTTTTAACGCGATTATAAGTGGTTTTGTGGCAACTTAAAATTGTAACCTTTTATAAATAAATGCAGCCAAATTTGGCTGCGATGTCGATGGCGCTTTGGAAGAGGGGTGAGGAGGGGGACGGGTGAAGACTTACTGGTGTTTCAGTTTTTCCTCCACCGATTGTATATTTTTCATTTGTAAGCAGTGGAATTCTGCGCGAGACTGTTTTGGGCCTTTGACTCACTCGTGTGAATGTTGTAGTAGTGAATAAAGATTAATTTGGTTAGTACGTACAGTCTGCTGAGAAGTGGAAGATTGGTAAAAACCTCTGGTGATAAGTTCTTTAATTGATTATGGGATAAGTTCCTGTCAACAAGAAATAATCACATCAGAAAAACAGTGCTCTCTCTAATAAGCAGCTGCCCCTCTCTCTCCTCCTCCCCCACCTGTCTCTATTGCCGCTTTATCTAGAATTTGTTATGCTTCGACTACAACTGAATCAGTACAGGTTTGTAGTTTGTTAATAGGAGCCAAAAATTTTAATTAGCGCTCGGGCACTTATTTGAAGACATACGTTAAATAAAACTGGTTTTTTAAGTTTCACAGAAGGTCTGGTTTTTTATTTAAAAATCAAGTTGGATTCGCGCTGTAACTGGCAAAGACAAAATAAAACTCTTTGATAGAAGTATTACAATTATAAATACTTCAAGACCTCTCTGAATTTGTCAAAAGAACGCAGATTTTAATGTCATTGGGTGTGGACCAGCCGGCTTCCGCTCATCCCCTTTCCCGTCCCGCTTACCAACGACTGTTCCAAATAGCTACGCAAAGTAGTAATTTGACGCTGTATTTGGGATCATCTTCAATTTAACAACACCCCCTCCCCTCCCCACCCCACTTCCGTGAGAACTTCTTCCCGCCACTTTTGATACTGTGATTAAATTCCCACCGAAAACACTTTTGTCCTTTGTGGGGAGAAAAATATAAAATTTTCTGCCATATAATATATTTCTGCCATTTTGCTTACAAATGATCGTAAACGTAACTCTGACCTTTTGCTTGCATATGGAAATAAAAACAACGATATCAGCAATAAAAAAGGTCCCAAATAGGGACACCGGGGAAATACGCCTTTTAGGGTACTATGCAGTATTTTACTGATCAGCGGACACCCTAACGAGACCTTAAAAGGCAGATGACTTTTTGTATGTTTACGCCGTGAGTTTAGTCGACAACGTACAAAAGACAAAACTTAGAAAGAATACAGTAAACTTAGCTTTGAAACTTGGCTCATATTTTGTATCGTTCTCATCTTCAATTATATATTTTGCCAGAGCAGAACTGAAGTTGCACACGATATGAAATTGTTGTTTTCCGCTGGCGGCTCCGTGGGAACTAATGAATAAAGGCTGAAAGTTTTTAAAGAAACTGTGGTGCTGCGTCGGTGGGGGTAACAAGGTAATTTGGTAATATCAAGTAAGTTGAAATTGTAAATTGGCCACCGTAACGAGTAAAAATGCTTACGTTTTGAGCGTTAGCCCTTGGTCAGAGCGAATGGAGGAATTGTGGGTTGTATGTGTTTTTATATGTAGAAGCGGAGGTACGCCATTGGTGGGACCATGGCAACGAGAAAAACACGAATAAATTAGTGGAATGAAAAGCGTTCGTTGATACCAGTGGGATTAAGAATGCCGATTTGAAAGATAAACTGTTGTTCAAGAGTTTTGCGGCTTTCCGTGCTACCTAAATGTAAGAAAAGACCGCAGATTGCCATATGTTCCCGAGAATGATTAAGTAAATTAAAGTGTTTAGCGACTGGTTTTGATGCGTCCTTGTCATTCCTTTCTACGTTGCGAAGGTGTTTTCGGAAACGGTCACCTAGACGTCTTCCCGTCTTCCTGTTTCGCCGATGTATAACTTTTTGCAATAAGTGCAAGTTATGCAATAGATTACGTTGGCGGAGGTACACGTGAAGTGATCGGTGATCTTAATGGATCGCTTGGGTCCCGATATTTTCTCAGCGTTGTGAATGAAGGGACGAGTTTTGCATCATGCGCGAGCGCATTTAAAATTGCCGGGTTGGTCATTTCTTTGGAACGAACTTCTAACCAAAAAATCGCCTATGTTTTTGTCGCGTTTGAATTAAATAAGCGGAGGTTGCGAAAATATAGTGCCAGTCTCTGAATCGTTTTGAAGTAATTTAAAGTTTTAAGGATAATGGATTTGACTGTGTGGTTGTGAGGGTGAAACGTGAGAGTGAAGGGAATGCGGTCGGAATTTTCCTTCTGTGACGTTTGTAGTGCTGACTGTCGATCAATAAGTTGAGCGCGGTGGTGACCCGCTTGAACGACAGAAACGTGCTAACCACGTTTTTCGAAAAACTGGCACATTGACTCTGATTTGTGGGAAAATCAGAGTCATCACTACATAAACGACGAAGTCTTAGAAACTGAGGAAGGGGAATGGAATTCTTAACATGAGATGGACGCGAAGATGAATACAACGAGTAACTATGTGAGTACCTGGCGTACCTCCGCTTCTACATATAAAAACACACACAACCCACAATTCGGCCTCCATTCGCTCTGACGAAGGGCTAACGCTCGAAACGTCAACTTTTTTATTCGTTACGGTGGCCAATTTACATATTTCAACCGGGTTGATACAACCAAATTACATATTTTCTCGATCATGGTATTTCATGACTGTAACTGTTGTTGTTTGTTGTTTTTTTTTTCAGTTTATATAACCTGAGTTTTACACAGCTTACAAACTAGTTTGCATCTGGTTCACTATCAGGTCCATATGATGTTTCATTTGAGTCAGAAGGGATGCATGGCTGGAAATTGTGCGAATCGCATGAAGAGAAAAATCGTCCAAATTGGTATTTTAGTAGGGGAATAACGGGATCACCTTACACAGGACCTATTAAAGATCATACTACGGGCTCAGGTACCTCTCGTTATTTTAAAAATGTAAGCAAAATAATCATGTGGAACCTGAAAGAGAATATACAGTGTTATTACATTTGGTTAATTCCTAGTTCTGGATTTACACTTCTCTTAAACTGAACCCACTCAAAGCATCTTAATGTATCAGCTAACAAATGGTAACACTCAGAGCAAGTTTGCCTCTTAAATATGAATTAACTCAGATTTACCCTTTTTGAACGGCAGTTTCCACCTTACGGGCCGATCAATTCGAAGCTTTAACATCCTCCCCCGGGCAACCTACAGGAATTTGAGTGTCGTCCGTGCCCCGGGTGCCCGGATGGGGAATTGGACTCAACAGCCAATCAGTTAAAAAGTAAAGAGTACAATTTTGCAAGCATATTGCTGAGAAAATTTTCACAAAATGATGCTTACTTAGGAAAAACCATACGACAGCAGCAATCACTAAAACGTGACTTTGCTAAATTCAACGACAAATGTTGGTCACACGAAAAAAGTGTTCGATAAAAAAAGTTGTGCTCGGGTGGAATTTTAACGTAATGTTAGCTCGGGAGGCGTGAATGTGAACGAACCAATCTTCAAAAGTTCAAATGTCCGGATGGATGTTCGGAGGGGGACGTTGAAGCTTCGAATTAATCGACGCATTGCTTCATTAGCCCTTTAAACCCTAAGAGCGACAAGCATCTAATTTCTGCCTACAGTAATACAGCTGAGTCATTCATTAAGATCATGAGAATGTAAAAGAACTTTGATTGCAAAACAAATTCTCCGTGCCAGTACCAAAAGAAATGTATAGAGAAGAGTATAGAGAATAAGGATACTGGTGTTAGGATGTAAAGAGTTAATACTACTTTTTCATCTTTCTTTAGTCTACTCCTCCATTTCCTTTCATCTGCAAAAGTATAGGGCTCCGCAAGCAGGCGCACCTTTGTTATGCGTTAGGACTCCGCTATGCGCTAGGGCTCCGCTATCATTTCTTCGACTGCTTTTCACCCTTATTGGCTTTTCTCGTGTACAGGACGATATATATTTTTTGAAGCATCAGCCCCGGCCAGGAATGGTGACGTCGCCTGCTTTCACAGCCCTAAGATTCCTTCAACAACTTGTCAGCGATTGACGTTTTGGTATCATATGTACGGAGCTCAAATGGGAACCCTGAGGGTTCTAAAGAAGACTGTGGATGGAGAAGCGACAACCCTGTGGAAGAGATCCTTCATGCAGGGAACGAACTGGATGTTCGCTAACGTAGAAATTTATTGCAAAGAGAAATTTCAGGTAAATAACCAAAGCAGAAGGGCTCCCCAAATTTTTCTCGTTAGTTTGCGGCAAGAGAGTTCTTGAGGAAGCATCGAAATACTACGTGCTACTCTTCAATCTGCTGCTAGATGATTACTTTGTAGTTTTGAAGGGAAAGAAGATAAACTGTAGTTACTTGAAGCTCACGATATTCACTGGCTGCGCTCGGAAAATAAGTGTTTCTTTGCAACTGTAACCTATCATTTTGAAATACGTGAGCGATGTGACTTAAATGCCATTCCTGCACCAACATTTATCGTTAATTAGCGAGTAGTCCTTCCTTTGAGTTGGATCCCTTAGAAGTTAAAAGTCTTAACATCTCTGAAGTTGCGCACAAATTGGAACCCTGTTCAAGTGTTCCACGTTATTTGTAATCAAACTGAGTGACAGACATTCCTGGCCGAGAAAAAACGCATAGAGGTTACACGATCTAAAACAATTGTACACCGTGTTGGTTATAATGAAAAGCAAATGGCAAATACTAAAACAACTATCACTCTTTACTTTTAGATTTATTTTGAGGGTATCCGTGGTGCAGGTTTCAAAGGTGACATTGGTATCGATGACGTAAAGATTAAAGACTGCAGCGATTAGCCAACCAAAGCTAGATGATGTAATCATTTTCTGCGCCGAAACTTTCCCCGAGTGGATCACGGAGAGAACCCTGTTATCTCCAACATCCTTTTTCAATCACAATCATGGTTGAATTGTCTTTCGAAGCTTAAATTGTATTCATCAGAACTGGTCTCTGAGGTTCGAAGAACAAGTGTTTTTAACGAGTACTAGCAAAAGGTATCTCAATACAACAAAAAATTATCTTCAATAATTTACAAGCAACTTATGGACGCTTGTAAGGAGAATTGGTTATATTTTTGGAGTTTAAAGGATAAGGTCACTTCGTTTGCTACGTAGCCTCCAAAGTCGACAAACGAACTCACAAAAGGCTCACTCAGTACATTCGCCAGAGCAAAGTTTGAGCGAAATTGGCCTTGACCTGGCAATTCCATCGAGCGCCTCATGGTCTTTCGATATCGGGTACTTTTAAGTACATTTAAAAATGTACAGATGATCATTCGAATAAAAATCGACCGGATCCAATTCATCGTACCTACCATCTACTTCTATTAGAGGCTAGACGTAATTAAATGAAATATATGAGTCCACATTCCTTCCTCTGTCTGTCCCGATCCCAATTTTTCGGTTCTGCGTTTAATGTGCGCCCACGAACATTTTCACCACTTTAAAAGCATGGCCAAATCGTCGTAACATCCAACCTTTCACTCTGCAAAAATATCCAATTCTTCCGTCTTCCGCGTCAGCGGTAACTCTTGACTACTTCCAAGTTTCTGAACAGAATTGTCATTGATTTCGTTGAAATTTGAGGATGATTCCTTTTCTGGTCGATTGGAGTCGGCGGCTACGAATTTCACTCTACCGGAAGCCGCCGATTTTGGCTGTTCGAACCTCTCTCGTGTTTTAGCCCGGATGTAACTTTTGCTATCGACATCATCAATGCTCCTTTTAACACCCGAACCAAGACCTCGTAGACTATCACGGACTTCGACTGTTACCTGGAGATAAATAGGAAAAAAAGGAAACTTTGACTTGAGGAAATTAAGTGTCAAAGATCGATTTGGGGAATAGCCGAAAAGGAGGCGGGAGCAAAATTAACAACCGTCCGACTTTGTATGTCTTCCCTCAGACTCGGGTAGCGGGATATTGTAGCACATGCTCCATAGACCAGAGCTGTAGCAAGTGACTCCTGTGTCCTTATTGACAACAATTCGTAAATTCTTACAGGTTCAAGGCGACCTTCTCCCTCTCGTCCTAGGCCCTCTCCTTCTTTCCAGCCCATCTTTTCCAACATTTTACGTCCAACATTTTCTTCTTTGATTGGTCTAAAAAAAAAAGAAAATGTTAAAGAAGAAGGTATTTGGGAATGATATTCCAGATGTTCGCATATAAACATATTTTAAGAAACAAAAGTCTAAAAAGAAAACCAGAGAAACAAAAAACAAAACAACACCAAAATGTGACAAATAAAATTGGCGATGTTGATAGCAAACAGATCCTCTATATCGAAAAAATAGAAATGCAGTAGGAGCGTGAACAGTGATAAACAAACCACCCCGTTTGTTCCTCACTGCCAAAATGTGAAAAAATGTGAAAAAGCTTACATAGTTTATCATGATTAACTCCCCCTAAACGTACCATCTGCTTGCCATTAATACTGGTCAGCAGAATACATTCACACTACATCAAAAGACATTTTACCGGTGAACAGATGCTGGGAGATCGTCAGAAGTCGCAACAGGAACGTCACTTCCCACTTTAGTGCGTCTAACATTCAAATGAAAACAAAATCACTATCAAAAACAAAATCTTAGAAATTTCTTGATGAACTTTTAACCAGTCTAAAGACGGGCTATGTACACGTACCAGATCTAAGCTTTAGGAGGAAGACCTGTTGGTTACGATAAAATGAAACGAGAACTCATCTAAAAGTTGTTAATACCAACCTGACTTCTGCGCGATTTTTGTATTTTCCTGCAAGAGTTCCATCGGTAGGTTGTTCACATTAAGTTGAATCCTGAAAGAGAAAGTACATTTTAAATCAATCTCAATGAGGGCCGGAGAATAAAACCAAGGTAATCACTATGAATTATCGAAACCAAGATAAACTTCATAAGGAAACAAGAGATCTTGATGAGAGTAAATTCACATGGTCGGCCATAACGAGTGTTAACGGAAATTACCACTTCTCTGGACTGGTTTTCAACGCCGAAGGATATCAGATTTCTTTTAATGGAGAGAAAGATGAACCCTCTAAAATTCACCTTCATAGTTCAGTTGGTAGTAGCGCCCAACTAGTATCTGGGAGGCAGAGGTTTCATCCTGTCAAAGCATGGATATTTTTTAGGCTTCATTTCTACAATAGTCCTTTTTACAGTTGTGGGCTTGGTGGCCAAGCCTTCGAACAGGAGTGAGGCTAAGGGTGACCTTGTTATGATATTGATGTTGCTGCTTTTCAAATGTAAATTTCTTTGTTATCATGCTAACTGGATACTGGGTCTCTATCACAACAATGTCACCCTCAGCCTCACTTCAAATCAAAGGCTTGGCAACTAAGTACACAACTGTAAAATGGTCTATTGCTAAAATGGCTTTCCTTAGTTTTGTATCTGAAAGTTGAGAACGTGGCACGAGGTTTTCTAAACCAATCGCTGAGCGTAATAAATCAAATCCAAACCATTCTCAGATTACTTTCGGCACTGTCTAAAAGTTTTAACCGGAAAAGTCAGAAAGAGAATCATGTGAAAGAATTCTCTCTAGTGCTTGCTAAATAAATGTAGCTCACCTCCAACGCGTAAGCCCTCTTGATTCTCTTCAGTTCTGATTTCCTCTGTTCTTGAACTGACAATGAATTTGACGATCCATCTCCTGGGACCACTTTCGTAATGGTAACTGCAACCAGAAACGTAAACACATTCAAATGAACTGGCAAATCCCTTATATACAAGTAACGGGAATTTTTTTTTTTTAATTTTTATTGTCTATTTCTGCCTTACTAATCCTTCTACATAAGAAAAGTTTGAAGATTTTAACTTTTTTAATCTTTAACAATAAATTTAAGGCCAATAAAAGCGCATTTTGATGGTGCATGTGGGACGTAAGAGTTTTACACAGCTCTTGGCGTTTAACATTATGGACGTGAACTGGTCACGAAGATGGCTACAAACAAAGGTCTCTGTTATTATTTAGACACACGCGCTTGAGAAACTAACATAATGAGCATTTCTAAAGTCTTTTACGTAATTGGAAGGCAGCTTTCTTATTTGCTGATGATTTTGCTAAGTTCAAACAACATTCTTTATAGGGAAATCTGACGAAACTACTTGGTTGTAAAGAACTACATCAATGACCATATCCACTATGAAAAACATTAACATTCTAATTTACAAAAACTGTAGACGCTGAAGATCACACTACCACCAATACTTCACATTGTGTTTCTTAACGTTTATACGAAAATTTTCTACGAATAACCAATCCAATGTATTGTTACAAACAAATCTTAATCAACGATAAAGGTCACACCTTAAAGTTTTGTATCATATCGCTGATCAGACTTTGGTTGAATCTTTTGACTGCCATATGAAAACCGAGTCATTAACCAAGCTAACCAATTTCAATGAGGTTACCCAGTCAGTACAATAGGTTTCTTTGCCTAATCTATTCACATGGACTTGAATAAATTATATTAATTCCACACGGCATGCATCTGCATTGGTTTTAAATACATAGGAGAAAGAATATTGAAAGTACGGCGCGAAATATTTCGCAAATATTCATCACCTGAATCGATTTAATGGCATAATATAAATTCTAGTCCCCCAACGCTCGTATCGACGAAACTATTTCTTTTATCACAAACAAGGATCAATAAATACAAGTTGCACACCTTGTTTCAATTTCTGGCTTATTCTGTGTACTCTGAATATGTTGAAAACCAATATTAAGAGTCAATCGGTTCATGAATCGTCTTTTATTATCGGGAAGTTACATTGACTCCGCGTTATTAACTAGAACATACAATTCTCTTGAGCTGCAAGTTCCTTAAAACCTGATAAATGTAAATGTTAACAGTAAACATCACATATTCCACCTGTCGTATGTTTACGCGTGCAATAAATAATTCATATTTGCACATTTTCAGACAAAAGCCTTACGCTACAAGGAAAAATATCATTGGTCGAGATCTCTCTAACGCTCAACCCATGTTTTGTCTTCACAGTAGTAACCTTTCGTTTTCCTTAGCAACAAAGTGTTTAAATGCCTCAGTCATTTACCATATCCTAGCTTTTTGAATAAATGATTAAGGATTTCACATTCGGTGAGTCACTTGAGAAACACAAATTCATTTATGTTCCGAATTATTTTTATCATAAGGACAAGCTTATAAGGAAAGGATAACCTCATGAACAGCTTATAAAAATATGGTGCCATTACCGAGGATCTATGAAGCATCAGTTACGTTAGGAACGCAGACAGAATAACAAAGCACACGGCAACTCAGGTAAAATTGTACTTCAATCTCGCTTTAATCTGGTTAAAAAAATACTTTACTTTCATATTTGAAAGTTATTTAGCTTTTAAGAAAAAATTATTGCAAGCGCTGTAATTAAAGATAAATGTATGGGAAAGTGCTTTCACACGATATTAACTCGACTTGTTTTAACTTTTTGATATGAAAGGACTATTGAAAATATGACCTGTCAAACTTTCGACGCATTAAAGTCGGAAGAGAGGGCATTTCAAACCATATTATGGTTCGATTCTTAATGGAAATTCTTGTTTGAACTGCAGTCTCAGCAGCTATGTCCACAAAGTATCCAGTTCAGGTGGACTGCATAAGACAAGTGCCACCCACGGCGCTCGAAACGGAAGAAGAAATCCCAACGGATGAGGCTGTACATCCAGAAAAAACAGCAGATAGTAGTGATGATGAATACGACACGGACTTAGAGGACGATTTCACAAAAGATTCTCAGGACAACAACAACCAGGAAAGGGAACATTATCTGACGGCCTGTAAAAATCTTGGCCTGATCCCTTGCACGCCGTTTCTAAGGCAGATCGGTAAGGCAGAGATGAATCTGAAGCATTACAATCTGGGGCCACTTGGAGCCGATGCAGTGGCGGTAGCGCTGATGCAAAATACAAATGTACTGTCGGTGAATATTGCTGATAACTGCATCGGTGCAGACGGGGCTATCTACATGGCCAAGATGCTAACCGAAAATCCGTTTATTACAGAACTGGACGTCTCGCAGAATGATCTGCGTACACAAGGGGCATATGCTATGTCAGAAATGTTAAGAGAGAGCTCCGAACTTCTAGAGCTCAACCTCTCGAATAACGGTTTCCAGGAAAAAGACGCTGAGCCTATAGTGGAAGCTATGAAACAGAATTACACATTGAAATCGTTGAATCTGAGTCATAACCACTTCTGTGACATGGGTGGACGACTGCTAGGTCCGGCAATTGACGCCAACGTGGGTCTTGAGTATCTCGATTTGAGTTGGAATCACTTCAGAAGGCAAGGAGCGATTGCCGTTGCTTATGGATTGAGAAACAACTGCGCTTTAAAATTCCTGGACTTGTCATGGAATGGCTTTGCAGACGATGGTGCGAAAGCAATCGGCGATGCATTGAGCGAGAACAACACTCTGACTGAGCTTGATATTTCTAGTAACCGGATATCTGCCGCTGGAGCGAAGAGTCTGGCGAACGGGCTGGCTAACAATTCAACTTTGCAGATCTTACGCATCGGACAGAACCCGTTTCAGAGTGAAGGTGCTTATGAGATCTTGAGCGCCGTGGCGAAAAACAAAGAGAGCGCCATTGAAGAGTTGTACTTCGACGACATTCCTGTGAATGCTGAGTTTGAGGACTTATTGGAGGAAGTTTTGGATGAAAGACCGAATCTGAATGTTCAGTGCGGAACGGCCATGAGAGGGAAGGACAGGGTCAAGAGAATGAAGAAAAAAGTGGTGAGTAAGCAAAAAGCGCTTTGTGAGGCGATGAAAGGGCGTGGTAAAATCACACTGATTTTACCTGAGGGAAAGAGCTCAGTTTGGCCAGAACCAGCTATGTCAGTTCACACAACTGACCCTTATCGTTTATGGACGAGACGATGCAGATTGCTAGTTCTGACCAACATGGAGCAGCCGAAGATAACAAATTATTCACTGTTAAAATGAAGATAAATCAATATTGTAGATACGGAAGAAGAAAAAATTTAAAACAGAGCAGTTTTTTCGTCGATTGACATGATAAAGGCTTATACAAGAACAAACTTGGTGGTAAAAATTTATAGGAAATATCGCGGGAAAAAGAAAAGGCGGCCTCACAAAATGCGGAATTTTCACATTATAGTGGGAAAGGCTGTTCTTTGAAACAAAGTAAACTATGCCGCCGTACGGTAAAATGACTTGCCGAAAAAACCTACCGTCAACCAATTAAGGTGCTATCCAAGTTGAGACAGGCGAACAATTTCCCTACAAATTAAAGTAATTCAATTTTTTTCTACACCTTTTTTTAACAGGACGTTCTCAATTTGCTCTTGGAGTACATTGAGCTCAGAGGTCTTCGTGTGGTAGACTTTTTCCGCCAGTTGGACAAGGACAACAGCAAAAAAATCTCAAGAGCTGAATTTATGAACGGAGTAAAGCAAGCTGGAATACCAATGACTAGAAAGCAACTCAAGAAGCTCGTTCAAATTCTGGATACAGACAATGATGGTAACATTGACTACGGAGAAATGATCGCCATCAAAAAGGACGAAGTGTTTGACTTCTACCACAAAAAGAAGGTTTACAAGAAAGACGATCCATTACTGCAGTCCTTTAAAGCCGCCCAACTAAAGAAGCCCTGAACAAACGGAGGCTGTTTCAGTACAGGGCAGCAAGTTTTACACCTGATTAGTTGAGATGTTGAGGCGAGTCTGGACCAATTACATGGCAGAGTAAGACCTAGACCAGACCTGGTGCAATCGCTGATTTCAAATGTGCACACCTACATGTAGTGCTAAAAATTAAGGCTAAAAGGCAACGGAAAGTACAGTGTAACCAAATATTCAGTCTTTCACAAACACAGTTTCCCCTTGCTTGGTTAAGAAAACTGATGACATACATGTAACACACATTTGAGAAGAGGGATGCTTTGTAAGCTCCATCAGACTGGTCCAGGGGATAAACCGACCAACCCACTAGTATCATCTAACTGTTACATAATCAACTATTATTACACGACTTGGGCAGTCAGAGGGCCAATAACTAAAATCAACCAATCAAAATGCTCTATTGCCGGTCAATATTCTCTCAGTATTGGACCCGGCACTGTCCCGAATGGTCCCGAATGATACCGCACTTGTGTCCCTTTGAACTTCAGTCGTACAATAAATCTCTTATTAACCCACAGGCAGCCCAAGCTCACTACTAGAAAAGCGGACGTGACTCTTAACGTGTTGCGCAACGTTTTATATTTATAAAGGTTTGTATGGGATGTTATCGGTTTGCCTTAAAAGAGAGAAAAAAAATGTCTTGTTTTGAAATAAAATGGGCTTACCTTATTGCTTTGTTGTTTTCTTTGTTGATTCCGAGCGTCTCAGGCTATTTTGAAGCGTATTCGGCGAGTTAGCGCTATGTTGGTGTTTAACTGCTAAAAGAAAGACAAGGCCGGAAACCTATTTTAGAAGTGTCCGTCGCCCGAAGCAAATAATTCCGCCAAAAAATTACCACCAGTCTCGATTCCTCCAGAAAATCAAAGCAGAGATGTTGCAGTTTCATTTCCATTCACTCGATTCCCAGTTCCTCCCACAGATCTTTCACTAGCGATGCTTTTATCTCCAGATCGATCGGCTTTCCAATTTCGAATTTGGCTGCTTGAAACATTTGCGGCCCGTTGGCCGATCGCACAGTATGTTGGGTAACAAGAATAAGCCCGGCGAGGGTAGCTAGCGACCTGCAGTCGACAAACAAACCAGTTAGCTCCC